TCATCAGAGCACACCCTGGGTGAATAATTCTGCTAATGAGACCACTCAACTGGGAAAGGGCAGTCTCTTTAATAAGCAGCTGTAGGGAAATTGGACATTCCCATGCCAAAGACTGAAGCTTGACCCTCTGGTCTCAGGATGAGCTAGTCTTTGAATATGTTCATCTTTATGTCCCTGCTTCTAGAACATGCCCTGTAAGGGACAATGTTGTTTTGGATGAGCCTTAAACCAGAAGATCAAATTTAGGCTTTTCTCTTTCTGCTACTGTGTGGGATGCTCCAACCCTGACCTTGGGTTTCCTTCATAGTGACTATGATTTCATGTCTGTCCTCTGAATGCAAGCCCTCTCTGCCTACATGGTATGCCCAGTGAATCCATTTGTCAGGGATTGGTCCTGTTTAGTGACATGAGGACAGCAGAGGACAGTTGACAAAGCCAGCAACTCTGTCCCCACCTCACATTTCTCCTGAGCCTTTTGTGAGAACAAAGGGAGCTTGTTAAAAGACCTGGAGAAATTGATATCCATCCATCTTCAATTGTGGAGTATCAATAGTTTATTTTAGAGGACCCAGACCATTTTTGGAGAAAGGTCAACTGAATGGTAGAATGTTTTTTTGCTAATTCGAGAAGTGATCTCAAATGATCAGAATAGTAACAGAAAGCAGGGATTGCCAAGACCTTGGGGTGGAGGTTAGCAGATGAGGAGCACATGTGCCCGTATGCCTTGGTGAGCATAGGACCCATGCAGAGTCCCTACGGCCCTGTGGCTGCTGAAGCACAGATCCACCCTCCACTCTGCTTGGTCCTTTAGTGATTTGTAGAAGCTCCAAGGCCAATGGTCTGAATGAAAAAAGTTCTAGTAGCCCCAAAACAGAACCTAATATTTGAGTTGGAATGCAACAAGTGAGAAGCATGGTAAAATAAATGGAGTTGGCTGGTTCCAAGATTGCAAGGCAAGCATTGATATTCAAAGCACAGTTAGTGTTCTAGAACACTGATCTTTACCATATGTGTATACTCCTGAAACCCCCTAGACAAAAAGTATTTGGATTTGTATTTCTATTAGGCATTTTAGTTGCTGGGAAGCTTTGCAGTTGTGGTTTCTTTCCTAGAATACAGACTTTGGTCCTTATCTTAAGCTCTCCTGTCACCACCTTCTACTTTACCATAGGAACACAGAGGTAACAGACTAGTTAGCTTCTGTCACTGGCTTTATGCAGGTTTGGGGGATCTGAACTCAGATCATGAGGCTTATTCAGCAAGTGCTTTAACCACTGAGACATCTCCCAACCCTTGAACATCTTTTTCAGTGTTTGCCGTTTGTTTTTTGAGACAGCATCTCATTATGTGGCCTTGTCCGACCTGGCACTTGCTCTGTAGACCAGGCTGACCTTGAATTCATGGAGCCTTTGCCTCCTGAGTGCTAGCATTAAAGGCGTGCTACACCATACCTAATGAACATTCATTTTAATTGAAATATAATGAAGGTGTCAGTAGTTGTCTAACCTAATAAAAATCATTTCTTAGGGATGATTTGATTTTCACTATTTTATTTTATTTTGTCTAAAGGCCAACCCTGATGGTACCAAGGGCAAGGTCAGAATGGGTGTGAGGAGGGGCGAGGAGACAATTAGCACTCTGGCAAGGAGGAAAGGCTGACTCCCTCAGAGCTGGGCCACAGGCCTCCTGGGTTCACTTTCTCTCCCAGTACTTACACCACCAGGCTTCGTCCAGCAGGGGACTGTAGAGCACTGTGATTATGCCCTGTCTGGCTGCAAGCTGTGTGGTGGCTTTGTTAAAGTCACTTCCTTGCCCCAACCCTGTACACTCATCAGCATTAATTCTATTAGAGCAAATAGTTTGGTTCCTATGCCCAGTGATCATGACAGGGAATCTTACTGCTCATATTAACTGCTCAGTCCAGCCTGCGCCTTGGAAAGCGCTTTAAGTGTCAGTACTGCTAGTTCTATTAAAGATTATTACTATTTGAACATCACACTTCCCAATCTGTATTGCTACATCTTGTATAGCACACAAACACATGCATGTCAGTCTAACAGAGTCTCATCTGCAGGAAATGCACAGGACTCTTGTGTGGCCTCTGACTTATTGTTAAGAATCAGTGATTCTCAATTCTACCAAACACACAAGCCTTTACTAGCCTGCAGTTCAATCCAAGGCCATGTAATCCACCTCTAAATGTAATTTCAAATAATTGCACAATGACGAGCTATCATAAAAAGAAACAATGAAAGACATTTCCACCCGATTTGTACATTGAAGTGTGAAATGTGTGTATGACATAATACAGCTGACAGATGCTTGTGCCTTCATAGTCACAAACTTTCATGAATGAAAAGGCTGTAAGTGAAGACTGACACCAGTGTGTGTTTGGCAGTTTTGTCCTTACTATCCTGTTTTCAGGAACTGTGAGGTTCTGAACAAAACAGAATATATTCTTTTGACTACATGCACCCTTGTATTTCTGGAAAATTCAGTCTGTTCCTTCAGATCTGCACATCTCGGAAACCATGAGGGAGACAGTTTGCCTTCTGTGGATTTTCTCTTTCTTCTAAGCTGAGTTTAGGAAAGACACTGGGATGGCTAAGAGGTGACCTGAGGTGACATCCAGCACTAGACTTTCTGAGTTCTTTTGTTTTGCTAATGTGTACAGTATTTTATTTTTCACACCGAGGCCTGATTGATAGATGCTCTACCCTGTTCCCCAGGAGCAGTGTCCTTCTAGATTCCCTTGCAGGATTCCTGTAAGAAGCTAGGAGAAGAGACACAAGCTCAATTAAGAATTGCCACTGAAGAAACTTTCTATACTACAAAAGGAGAAAGCACTCTAATTCTCAGCAATAAAAATATCCTGAAAGCTAAATGCCCAATGACTAATCTTTACTTAGAAGAAAACATTGTGTTTCCTTTCATTTTTATCTTTGTATTTCTCTTTCATATATGAATATATTTTTAATCAAGTCCACCCCCCCATTCCCCCTTTCAACTCCTTTCAGGCTCTTCCCCTTTATCACCTTCCCAAACTCACATCCTCTGTCTGTCTGACTGTCTGTCTGTCTATCTGTGTCTGACTATCTATGTATCTACCTTCCTACCCATCCATCCATCATATATATATATATATATATATATATATATATATATTCTATCATCTATATATATCACCTATATATATCATCTATCTATCTTCTATCTACCTACCTACCTATCCATCAATCCAAAGCCCACTGAGTCCATTAGTATTGCTTATATACACATGGGTATAGGGCTGTCCACTGTAGCTTGGGTAAATTATCAAGGATCCAGCCTCTGAGGAAAACTGACGTTTTCTTCCTTGGTAGTCACCTACTGCTTATAGCTTCTCAACTAAGTATGGTGCCTGTGAAGCACACTGCCCATCCATGTTGGAATATTGACTAGGCAGATCATGTGCAGGTCATATGCCCACAACCACAGCTACTCAGAGCCTGTGAGTGCAATGCCTGCCATGTCCAGAAGACTCTTGACTCTCTCCTGGGGCTCTTACAGTTTTCTATGCCATCTTCTATGATGGTCTCTGAGCCCTGAAGAGAGGAGATGTGACATAGAGGTCCTGCTTGGGTAGGAGCATTCCACAGTCATCTGTTTCCTATGCTTTGAATCATTTTGTGGTTTTCTGAGTTGACCTCCATCCACTGCAAAAAGAAGCCTCTCTGACAAGGTGTGTGAGCTGGACTAATGTTTGGGTTTAAGAATAAATATTTAGAAGACAGTTGGCTACTCTATCAGACTTGGCAAGATGATAGTAGTGGGTTCTCCCCTCTCTGGCCATGCATCCTTTGCCAAGTTTGCAGTGGCAAGCATGAGTTCCTTCCTGATGAGCACCTTTAAATCCAATCAGATAGTTGTTGCTCCCCCGACCCCAGACACTCAGGCCACAATTGTGCCAGTGAGCACCCAGCACCTTGCCAGATAAACTGTTCCTATAGTTCAGAGGGTTCACAGCAGGCAAGACTGCAGCCACCCCTCTCTCCTGGCAGCCTGCCTAGCACCTTGTGGCATTATGAAAGCTGGCCTTCCAGGAGGAAGCCTCCAGGTCAGTACTAGCCTGAGTTTTTCAAATCCTGTGACAGAAGTGGATACTGTCTTCAGCAATAGGCTCTTACTCACTAGTTCTGTGGACAACTAAAAACAACGGCAATAGTCTGCACTGTTCAGGTCTGCACCCCACCCCCACCCCAACCAATAATTCAAAGGGAAAGAGCCCATACCCAGGACTAGGCTTTTGTTTAATGTTTGCTTTCTAAAGAAAAAATTCATAAATTATTAATAAAATGGACATTTTAAAATTGCATTTATGTAGGGGTATGCACCATGGTGGGCATGTGTGAGTCAGGAAAACTTGGAGTCAGTTCTCTTCTTCTATAATGTGGGTCCTGGGCATCAAACTCAGGTCTTCAGACTGCTGAGCCACATCACCAGCCTGAGCTCTTTCTGTTGGGTTTTAGTTCTGAGTTTGAATGTGGATATAGAATTGTATTGCCATAATCAATTTTTCATTTTTAAAATATTTTTTAGATTTATTTTGTTACGAATGTTTGGCCTTCATGCATGTATGTGTTGTGTGTGTGTGTGTGTGTGTGTGTGTGTGTGTGTGTGTGTGTCAGGTGCCCATGGAGGCCAGAGGATAGCTTCAGATCCCCTGTAACTGGAGTTACAGATGGCTGTGAGCCACCATGTGGGTTCTGGAACTTGAATCTGGGACTTTGCAAGAGCCACAGTATTCTTAACTACCTAGCCTGCTCTCCAGCCCCAGATTTTTTGGTCTTTTAAATGTGTGTCTGACTTGTGCTGTGGTGTGCCTCTGTAAAGGCCGGCCATGTGCGTATTGGATTCTTTAATAGGAGACAGCTTTGGAACCTAGACCTGTATGCATGCACATTCATGAAACTCTTCTCCTGGAATGCTGTCACTCACAGCCCATTCTTTGCTTTGCCTAGAGCATCCAGGATGTGAGAAGTGATGATGAAGAAGAAGAGGAAGAGGAAGAAGAAAATGAGGAGGGCACCAAAGACAAAGGGACAGATTACCTGAAGAATGGCCTTGGGACTACCAAGGATCTCATTCCCAATGGTCAGCACAGCCGCTAGCTTGAAGCTCTGGACTCCCATGGCACAGTGTGCTGCCAGGACATTGGGTAGCTTGCTCCCCAACACATAGAGACCCCAGTTTGCCCTTTATTTTATTTTATTTTTTAGATTGGAGTCTCCTATGTTACCCAAGCTGGCCTCCAACTCAGTCATCCCACCTTGTGATAAATGTTCAAAAATGGAATACCCATGGGTTTCCCCACAGCTAGACTCAGGCTGGCCAGGGTGGGTCCAAGGTTTCTCCAGGAAGGTGTTAGTTCTTACTGTGTTCCCTCCTTATAGAATTTGAAGTGGTTGACTTTCTCAGGAACTCATTTTGTCTGAATTTTCTCACCTTCCCACCTCGCCCTTGTTCAGGGTGGTTTGACAAGTGCCCAGGAAATCCACTCTACCAGGTATTTGGCCACAATAGCACCTCTTCCAAAAGTGTGTTTGACGTGGCAAGAAGATGGTTGCAGAACCACAGGGGAGGACAGGCTTCCAGGCTCATGGGTCACCTTGGGTCTAGACACTTGTCTCCACAGTGCCTTTTCTCTCCACAGTGCCTCTGCCTGATGATATATTCTACTACCTCACAGGATTGGAGTGAGGATAAAGGGAGATATTAGAAGTGGGGTTCCGTGTCTCCTGCAGGTGTCAGTGGCCCTTAGGACCCCAGCTTGACAAAAGAGATTACCCTGGCTGAAGTTGGTGTGGAGACCCCCATCTTAAAAATGGCTCTTAGTGTGTAAGCTACCCAGAGATACCAATGTCTGTTTCCATTTGGATTGGTAACTGTATTACTCCTAGGAGTAATTCTCAGATGACTCCAGAGCCTACCTTACTGGGTCCTGGAGCCAAGGGAAGGGAACATTGATGGGAAGCTGCCCTGTACTGTTGGCCCTGAGCCTCTTCCTCAAGCTTGAAGAGATGCCATGGGCTGTGAGAGTTGCTTGGGGGGCCTCTGGAGAGAGGGGACCCAAGTAAGGTTGTTCACTGAGCCATACCACTCTGGAACCAGCCCCGGGGTGGCATGCATGATAGCGCCAAACTCTGAAGGAATTCTTGGAAGCAGAAAGTAGAAGCCGTGCTCTAGTCTTGGTATCCAACTCATTCTGACTGCTGAACAGTGAGCACCCAGCAGACCGCCAGGCACCTTGAGTAGCAAGGGTCCTGTGCGCACTAAATGGTCTGAGAGTTTCAGTTTTTAATTTTAAAAGTGATGTGTTTTTAAAACCTTTAGGCTAAGCAAAAACAAGCAAACAAACTCTTCAGAATTCTGTTCCCCCCCAAAAAGGTCTTGTTAAAGAATTGTAAGAAAAACAGCAAAACAAGTCTCAAGTTAATATTTATTTTTCTGAGCACACCACCATGTGTGCGTTCTATCTGTAATGTGATCTTGTATCTAAAATGTCTCTTCTCACCTTAGGGCATAGCTGTTGGTTTATCATTCTTACTTTGATGGAAGGTCATACTACAATGTGTGTGTGTGTGTGTTTTAATGTGTCCAGTTAACAAAGCATTTTCCCTTGATTTATTTTGGGTTTCTTTCACTGCAGAACCTTTTCTTGCTTACAGTGAAACTTTGTTGATAGATATACCTTCAAATTTCTTTTTCTACATTTGACTGTGGAAAGTAAAACTGATATGCTAATTTCAGCTCTCAAACAGCTCAAAGCACTATATACTTCAAAAGAGGTAGAGGTGCACTCTATAGCAGTATTGGGGGCTCCTGTGGTAACCCCCCTTTCCTATAGCAAACTGTTCAAGGTGACTTTGTAAACTTCTAAGCCACAGTGACTTACAATAAAATGAAAACGAACCCCCAGTGCGTGGTGACTGAGTAGTTTTGGCACACATCATATGGCCTCTGAGAGAGAGAGAACTAAGGATCTATATGCATAGTGTAAACAGAAACACACCATTCCTCCCAACAAATCCCTCATTCATGGCTCTTCATTTTGTTTTCATGGCTCACTGAGTTTTATCAGGGCTGTTTCTATGTCCATGGTTTGAAACTATCCAATGGAGCCTGCTGGGCTCACCAGTAGATACATAGCTAAAGACAATGACTTTTGCCTTTTCATAATTCAGTAGCTGGTAGTTCAGCAAGGAGGGATTCTCCTAAATTATCAGTAGCCAATAGTTCACCAAGGAGGGATAGGGTCCTATGAGCCCTTCTCCCATCCTCTGCTGACTCTTGTACAGGCCCAGAGAAGGCAGCTGCTGACATGAGTTGGTGATCACAGTGGCTGAGTCCAGACCAGAGATGGCATTCCACTGTCCCTTTCTTCTGTCTTCAAGCTTTTACATTCCTTGTGACCCCACTACCACCACCTTCCTCCAAGTTCTCTAAGCCTTAGAGGGAATAGTGTGTTCTGTTTAGAGCGGAACACACACCTGACACTTGTTCTCAGTACCTGGAACAGCCATTAACTGCATTAACTGCAGTTGGTGAACTACAGAGAGAGCTCTCTCTGATTCAATCTGAGTCTTTGTCTATGGGTATAAAACAAGAGTTTTTGGAAGGCAGTTTAATACCATGTCAATTTAGCAAAAGAATAGTAGTAAGTTGCCCCCTAGAGACACCCTCAAGCATTGATTTTTTTGTGGGGGGGGCGCGGGGGGGGAGGCTGTCTCCTCCTGTGGAGTGGACCTCAGATCCAATCAGAGAGAAGCTTGTTCGCTATTGCTAAAAGCCTCCACCCAAGTTGCTAGTAAAACCTTCCACCAGGTGGCTCTTGAGCTCCTGTTAAGGAAGAGAGAGGAATGTAGCAGGGGGATGGCAGACACAGGACACAATCACAAGTTTTGTCTTCAGTGCCCAGCAATTGCTGTGGGATTTGGCACAAAAGCCATGAGGTCTTTGACCAATATGGCTTTAGGCTGGGTGTACCTCAAATGTCCTATTCCCACTGCGATGGGTAGAAAGATCCCCCAAGCTGTTTCCAAATGGGTCTCCCTCATCTTCCTTACTTACATGGGATCATTGGCAGGTGTTGGCTTCTGTGACCAGTCTTTCCCAGGGACTTTCTCTCTATAAAGCAGTGACATTTTACCAAAGGGACCCCATGATTGACACCACTCTCTGTGCCACATCCCCTGGTAGAACATGCTGGAACAGACATGAAGCCAAGTGCTATGGAGCCAACAGTGGCTGTGAGGCATTGACATGGAGCAGGCATGCATCACCACCGAGGTTTGTGCTTAAGCTTTCTTTACATCTGCTGTTGTGGGGGAAAAGGAAAAGCATCAAAAGTGTTCATAGTTGTACTCTAGGATATAAACCAGATCTCAGAAGCCCCAGCTTGGTGCTCCTTATCCAAGAATACTGGTATCAGCAAGGGCTAGACACCACTTGGTTTTGTAACCCAGATGCTCATGAGCAGGTCTGAACCCAGTGGAGTCAGCCTCCAGGAACAGAAGGCAGGCAGTTAGAGTTGGACCAGGACACAGTGGACAATCATGGTCAGGCAGCCATGACAACCAAGTAGGCATACAAGGTGGTCAATAAGTCAAAACATGACAAGGCCAGCCTCATGAACATGAATATGGCCAGGAACTTGTTTCCAAAGTTAATGTGCTAAAGCCGCTGTACATTTAATTTTGATGCATTCTACATTGTGTGTATAATGTGATCCATACAGTTTCACCCAAATGATAAATCATATTGTTTTGTGGCTGGGGTGAAGGAAGCCCTCCAGGAGCTACAGGAAATGCTCAGAATAGAGTCTCTGGAGTTGGGCTACAAACTGGATATAGTGCCTCAGTCAACCAGGTAATCTCTATAAGTCCATTCCTTATGTGTAACACTGGTGTTCTGAAGTGTGCTACAGGGGTAGATGGGATGATATAATTTGAGGCACCTTGGATGAAAAAGAATTCAGAAAGGTGGGAGGAAGATTATGAGTTTGAGGCTAGCCTGAGCTACATAGTGGAGATTATACATTGGGCTACAGTACCAAAAAATGTAACCAGAAAATATTGTCTTCATTTCCAAAGAGTCTTTCAAAGGATACCTATGTCACTTAGCTTGAAAATGGCAAAGTTTAGATTTAAGGCTGCACCAAAGGATGGTCTCCAAAAGCATACTGTTTGCATTGATGGGTTAATAATAGTTCCTGAGGCTCACTGTCTATCAGCACATGGGATTGCATGACAAAACACACACCTCTTCTGCTCCCACTGAATGTAGTTGATAAGAGACATTAGAAACACACTGCGTTTATAGGTCCTTAGCGTTCAGCCGGGGAGTTTGGAATCACACTGTGTATTTCAGATGCAAGGAGTTTAAGGGGGAATTGTTTATATGAGTGTCAGAGGCTAAGAAGGAAAACTCATATACTCTGCCCCAAGTATACTAACTGTAAGAAGTAAATGTCAGAACTTTACTTATAGAACCTAAGTAATTAGAAGGTCTGGGGCATAGCTCAGTAGGAGAGTGCTTACTTACACATAAGGTCCTGGGTCCAGTCCCCAGCATTCAAAAATGTAAGTGATTTGTGGACAAGCTCTACAGTGCTAGTGCATGGGTAGGCTCTGTACATGAGTCCCCAAACTAGGTGACAGAGCTTGGAAGCTTCCCTGAGGAGAGAGGATTCCATGGCTAGTGACCAAGTAGGTTCTAGAACCTTCACCAGGAACCAGAATGCCTGGTGAAGGTGTGTCCTCATCAGTGGGACTAATGGCCTTATAAATGTGGTCACAGGAGAACCCTCACCTTCTGCCATTAGAGAACTGGTCCTCACTAGACACAGACTATCAGCATCCTGACTCTGAGCATCTGAGAATCAGGAAAAAGAAAGCCATTTTCATGTGCATTTCAGGATGCTTCAATCCCTGGTACAGCAAATAGACAAGCAAGCAAACATAGCAGGGCAGACAGCAGGGCAGTCGGGCACCCCGAAGGACTTCTTGTATGGCAGCCATGTGACGTTGTTTAGATGTTAATTTTTTGCAATTATTCATGTCCCACAGTCACGTTTGTGCCCATTTCCTACTTATTGGCTACTGATAAAGACTTTTTGTATAATATGACAAACAAATGTTCAGGAGACAAAGTCCTGATCTGGCTGCCAGGTTCTCTCAGCACCACAAGTGTCTGTTACAGAATCCTGGCTCCTCTCAGCACTTCTCACTGCTGCCCTCTACATTAAATCTCTCCAGCCCCTGAGCTTCAACTTCCCTTCCCCCAGCCTCTGATTTGGTAAAAACCCAGCCATTTTGTTCATGAGCTCTCTTGGTT